GGGGTGTGGGACCCACTGGGGTGTGGGACCCGCCGCAGCGGGTGGGTGTTTCCAGGCCGGGCTCTCTGCAGCCGCTGAGGTCCCTTATCGTCACCACGACCTTTGCTGGTTGTAGATTAGAGGCTGGAGCCAGTTGGATTTGTTTGATTCCTGTTGATGGTTATTAGGCAGAGGAAGTGCCAGAAGGGATTTTGACCTCAAGCTTAAACCTATTCCAATTAGAGCCACTGAGCCTTTAATTACCGCTCTCCAGCCACTTTGGTTAAAGCAACGACAAAAACAAACACAAAATCTGGTCGAAGACGGGCTTTTCTCCTCATCAACTCTTCAGCCTCCTGCCAGCTTTGTCCACGTCCATGTGCTGTGACTGTGGGCGCAGGGCAATCTGACCCACGAAGCCCCTTGACACAAGCGATGCCACTCCGGGGTGATGCCCATGGGCAGGAGGCACGTTGCCCTGGCCCACCACCCTGCACACCACCCATCACCCAAGGGATGCTCCAAGGACCGTCTCCTGGTGCCCATGTGTCTCCTGAGGTTACGGTTCAGGTGCCCATTACTGCTCACCAAGAGATGATGAATATTTTGGAAATACTGATTTATTTAGCATAACTTCTACTGCGTTAGCAGGACCAGGCTGGGTGAGCACGACCCTGCCAGCACCCGCACTGGGAAATGTTTTTATGTGCTGAGTCATAAGGATCCCCACGCAAACTCCCCTTGTAAATGTTCTGCATTCAAGGAGTTTTAACGAGGTTCGTTAATCCAGCTGCTACCAGGTTTGGCTTATCGTAGGTATTTCTGCAGCGCATTTGTTTCTCTTTCCTTCCAATTAAAGCTGGGGCCATCTTTTAAACACCAGGCAATGAAAACAGCAGTAGGTACTATGAAAACTTACTTCATCGTGTAAAAAGACGGCAGCAAGTCCCAGAGCCCCTCCAGACACGCTCTGCGCACGCAGAGGCACCACAGCCTTGTGCTGGCAGGGGCTGGGCTGCAGCTTTGGGGCTGAATTACCTTTTCTGACCCTTCCAGGTGCTTCCTACCACCCTCTGCTGCGGAATCTCCATCCCGTTCCCTCCAACCTCACAAGATCTTAGAGGAGAGTGCACCAGCCCAGAGCAGAGGTCACAGTAATCCAGCCCGTGAATCATTTCCACTAACGAAGCCACTGAAAATGAGTCAGTGGTTGGCTTTGTGTGGCCAACACACAGAGTGATTCGTTAATTACAGCATCTTTCTTGTGAGAAAGGACTTTTGCAGCCAGATAAGGTTTATACAAATCCTAAATCTGGCAATATTTATCAACCTCTTGGAAATATAATTGTGTCTCAGCTACAGCAAGAGGAGAGGGGGGGAAAATGTCTCTTTTAAGTGACTGGGAGGTCCATTTAGCGGCTTTATTCCTCAGCCCAATCCTCTATTTCTCATGGATGCCACAGACAATTAGCACCGATCCTTCCACTGGAGGGTGAGCTCCCACCGGAGCAGGCGGAAGGGCACGGACAATGGACAGATCCCATTTGTTTCCTCCATGGCAGTCCTACCTTCTCCGTAGGCAGATTTGATTTCCTCCAGCACGTGCTCTTCTCCCTTTATCTGATCCTTCTCCCCTCGGGTTGTTTTTCCTTCTTTCATGGGAACTGGAAATAAGATCTCAAGATGCACTTCCTGCAATACCTGGGAAAACAACCTAAGAGCAACTTTCAAATGATTGCAAAATGTTTGAAAAAAATCAATTGCACAAACAATTCTGGTATCTGGACAAAAAAAAAAAAAGCCTCCTCTCTCACACAGCTGAGCTGCTCTGCATGAGGCTCTCACTGAGGCAAAATAGTTGAACCATTTTGAGACTTACCACGGAATAACCGGCACCAGCAGCCGCGAGGTCCCGGCTGGCCGCTCCCCTCCGCGCACACCCCAAGCTCTGCCCTCCTCAGGAACACCCGGCAGGTTTGCAGAGCCCCCTGCTCGCCCCAGCACAAGGATGGCTGCAAAGACCCCCCCACCATGGGAGAGACCTGGGACCCCCCAAGCCCCTCGGTGCTGGTTTCGGGCAGGAACAGCCAGTGCTGGGCCAGGGTCAAGTGTAGCCCTGAGGCAGGAGCAACATCTGCGTCCGTCGGAGCTCTCTTCCCACCGAGGCGCCTCTGCAGCCCATCCGCAGCCTGTGTGCCCCCCAACATCACGCCAAGCCTCCGTCCCTCTTCCAGGTACAGCTGGCTAAAAGGAATCCTAGAGAGCTGGGTGTTTCTTGTGTGGAAATGGTGAGATTATTAGATTTAGGGTGATTTGCTACAGGATTTCAATCTCTGCTCTCATTTCTGGTTATCCCCTCCAAGGCCGACAGCTGTATCCCGGCATTTCAATGTGCTAGTCACAGCCTGACCAGAGTAAGACTCAGATAGATGGTCACAGCCCAAGAAATCCTGGGATTATCAAAACAGAAGCAAATCTAAAACAATGGGGGGAGGATGAGGGGGAGCAGTGATGTGACACTGAAGTTCCAGAGATGCCATTTCAGGCACAGGCAGTACAGAAGGTGTGATGCAAACCATCCCACCCAGGCAAGCTTCAGGAAAATCACATCGCTGGGTCTTCTGCAAAGGTCACCGTGCGAGGCAGCACATTTTAAACCTGCCATGGAAATCACAAGTGTTCTCCACAGTCCAAAGATGAAACCTGTTTCTGGGAGATTGAAGTTTGAATCCTGTCTGAACCTGCTCAGAGGCTGACAACGCTGGAAGGAGAAAACAACCTGGCTGACAAAACGCAGGCAGGAAGGTCAAAGGTATTTATGTGATCACTGCAGATGACCACAGACCTGCCACTTACGTGGTACAAAGTGGCTGAGCTGCCACAGACACAAAATTGGAGTCGGTGTTAACCCACACCCAACACAAACGCGGGTTCCTGCAGACCCCGTCACCCACCCGCTTCCAGCGGCACATCCCTCCCCTGCGCTCCCAGAGCCGCTGGCTGCAGAGGAACCAGGGAGCAGAAGGTGTCTGCAGCTTCGGGCCACTGAATGAAGGGAGACAGGAATGCGAAATATTCCAGTTCTCTCAATATACAAGACCAAATAAGGCCCAGATGCCAAGAGAGTAAACACAAGGCTGATCTACCAAGTTTGGGCAAATGTGATTCAGAGTTCCCTAATGCTCCAGATTTTGCCTTGCAGGATAAACTTAGTAATTCTCTCTGTGTACATCTGTTTAAAAAGGAAGTGTCTGTGTAACCTCCATCTATCTCTGTCAGCCCCAACTGCTTGTTTGCAAGGGCTACGCGCTTGAGAAGTTCAGCCATGAACCAAAACCACAAACAACCCGTTTCACCGGGCAGGTAAGTTATAGGTGAGACTAAGAAAAACCCAACACACCCCCAAAAATAGAGGGAATCGTCACTTCCCAACCTGCCAGGCTTGAAGACTGTCTCAGGGTTTGGAAACGTGGATACAAAAAGGAAGACAGACCCCTCGAAGTGGAGCTTTGTGTTACACCTTCTATGGAAGAGTGATGGAATTCCCACAGATATCCTGCATCTGTAATCAATAACCAGGTGCAATAAAGCATTGAAACAAAAATAAACACTGTTCTACAGCAAAAATTGCTACATAAGTGACATTTATTAATGTTCTGCTGTATTTACAGTTTTAACATAGTAAAACTCCAAAGTGAATTACCACTTGGCAGAAAGCACAAAAGTGCACATTAAATCTACATTTAGAACACATCTGAGTCTCTGCTAACACAAATTATAAAAGCAAGAATTACAGGTATGTTAGGAATTGTCTCAAAAGTCCCAAGCCAAAGAGAGAGAGAGAAAAAAAAAAAAGGCTTTTGTTTTGCAAGGTCATTTCTTTATATATATATATATATATATAAAGTTGCAACGTGATCTTTCATTTTTACACTACCATGGTGTACCGTGAAAATCCCTATATAGTCCCAAAAGTAGGTAGTATGAAAGTAAAGTGTACTACAACACTGAGAATAGAGACTAGTAAAAAAAACTAATACTTGTGCCACCTTCAAAGTAACACTCTGTCCCAATGTCACCTCAGGAACCTGTCCCACACAGACCCCTTCTTCCTCTGAGCCGCAGACAGCGCGGGGGCTGCTGGATTTAAGCAGCAGGAAGGTTTGTCACCTCAAAGGGAGACAGGAATGCGTCAGCAGAGAGGTTTGTCACCTCAGCAGAGAGGTCTGTCACCAGAGCAGTGCCATCCCTTCCACCTCCCAGATCACCCCTGCGGGTTGGACAGGACAGGACGGGACAGAGCAGAGCTGGATCCGTCCCCGCTCCCGGGATGGAGGAGGAAATAAAGCAAGGGTGGCCCCTGCTGGCTCCAGGGACAGGGCTGAGGCGACCCAAACCACGACAGAAACGCTCTAGATAAGGCTTTATGAGCACGTCACAGACTCGACTGCAATAGCTTTTTCAAACATTAGCCACTAATGATTCGATGAGTACAGAATTCTGCGTTAATTATTAAAATTTTACACCTAGAAACAAATAGAAAGAAATGCTTCTCCTTTTTTTTTTTTTCCCCAACAGGAGGTTTATTTATTTATTTATTTATTTATTTATTTCTTTTAAAGCAGGTCATTATTTTTTCTTCTGCTCCAGAGTCTTGATTCACTTCCTGCAGGTGTCTCGTTGCTTCTGGAGGAAGAATTCACTAACGCAGGAAGACGTTTGCCAGAAAACATCTGTTGGAGAAGGATATTGAATATTGAAGCTATAGTTAGATGGCTATTTTGGATAAGAGAAGGATGCAGTTCACAGAGAGTGCAGGATGTCTACAGGCTTATGAAGTATCTCAGAACACAATGACATGACTCTAGCGAAACACTCGGGAGTTTCTGGCATACTTTACAGTTCTGAAGAGTTAAAATTCCTTTGGGGAAACCAGCCACCGAATCAGGCAATGCTCTTAGAAACCAGGAGCTGCATGAACTGGCACTGCACTTGCACTGCGAGAACATTTCACTTGGTCTCTAGTTGCTGCACCCACCCAGGATGATGATTTTTGTACATTTCTATCAAGTGTTCTGGGATAAAAGGGTGTCCTGGTGTGAGCTGGGTCAGAGCTGGTTCTGTTCAGCACCTGGAACAGCTCTGGGGTTTGGGTTCAGCTGGGATTTGTCAGGAGAGAAACGCTGAGAACATCCCCATGTTGCATTTGTGTCCCTGGCACTGAAGGACTTTGTGTTTGTCCGTCTGCAAGTGCAAGATCTCAGGGGTGAGGAATATTGACATGGATCAGCTCCATGGGCATTGGGCTCTGCCAAGGGGCTGTTCCATCTCCTGTCCCCCATGGGCAGGAGATCCATGAGGGGCTCTTCCTCTCTTGCTCTCTCTGGCTTTGGCTCAGGCTCTGGCTCTCCC